TCTTCTGTGCTCATTTCAGCTGTTGGGTCTTGTACAAGAGCTTGAGAGGTGGTTAGAAAAGAGACGAAGTGCACGTTTTAACATGGATACGCCGGGGGGACCTCGGCAGGAATGTCAAGCCAAGATAGACACTAACGTGATTCAGATCCACCAAGTCCCAAGACTTATATTAAACCCTATTTATACAAAGTTGTATCCTAACACAATTTATTATACAGAAATAAGATGGACATAAGATGGACATAAGATAGATTGGCTAAATCCCAAGCAAGATCAAGGATATTCCATTTTCTAGAAATCAGCTAAAGTACGGAGTAGATCCGCCCCTTTATTTTGGCACATTTGCTATCCACCTTGGTCGACGGTGACAACCCCTTTCCCCCTTACTTTGGTTCATTTACGGAGTATATTGTATCAAGTCCATTATCACACTGCCCCCCAGCATCCCAAAAGATAGCACGTATGTAAGTATCTCTAGACCTCGGGAAGAACCCGAGGTTCGATTTTGGATGGGCAAGAGCCTCCAGGAATCCGCGGGTCTTCGGACCCACTTACCTAAAGTTGATTGGTTACTTACTAACTGTGTCTCGTCCAATCACGTTTCACCAGTGACATACTTCTCTTGAGGGCTACTATATCATTCCAAAACCACTGTCAATTTCTTGACCGTCTTAGTTTTTGTTACCTTTTAACATTAGGATCTATGTTATATCATATTATACTGCCCCAAGCACTTAGGCCAGCAATCTCACAATTTCTGCTGTGCCCCAAATATTCAAAAAGGATGTTTTCCGTTGTTCCTCAAGTGGTTGCAAACACCCATCAACCAGATGTCTCATATCGATCTCTGGCATTATCCCCGAGTGAAGATAGCCCAGATATTCGTCAGAAGTATCGACCATTTATCCTCGACGACAATGCAACTGAAGACTGGGTCAACAACTTAGACTTGGCCACCGCAGCGGACATGGCCGAACAGAACCTGCGTGTTACAAACGAGAGGCTGAAAGTTCTAGTACTCTATGGCAGTCTTCGCAAAAGGTCATATTCCCGACTGGTAGCATTGGAAGCTTCCCGTATCCTGTTCCGGCTCGGCTGTGACGTACGCGTCTTTGACCCCGAGGGTCTTCCTATGAAGAACGAGAGTGATACCGCCCATCCTAAAGTACAGGAGCTCCGAGAACTCAGTGTATGGAGCGATGGACATGTCTGGGTTTCACCTGAACAGCACGGCAATCTGGTGAGTGATATCTCGCAATAGTCCTCGGCATTTAGTGCATTATTTACTTACATGCTTTTCCGCAACGCTAGACCGCTGTGTTCAAAAATCAGATCGATTGGATCCCTTTGACCACCGGAAGTGTTCGTCCCACCCAAGGTCGAACGCTAGCCATTGCCCAGGTGTGCGGTGGATCCCAGTCATTCAATGCGGTCAACTCTCTGCGTATCCTGGGGCGGTGGATGCGTATGTTTACGATCCCGAATCAGTCTTCGATCCCCAAGGCATATACGCAATTCCCGAATGAAGGTCAACCGGGAGATCAGCGACTCATGCCTAGTGGCAACAGAGATCGTCTGGTGGATTGCATGGAGGAGTTTGTCAAATATACGATTCTGATGCGGCCTCATATCGGTCTTTTTGGTGACCGTTTTAGTGAACGGGAGGAGAAGAAGATAAAGGAGGCAAAGTTGAATGCTGCTGCAGTTAATTAGAAGGCATAGAATAATATAGAGAATGTTAGAGAGACAATATATTATGGTATAATTGCTCAACATATTTCGTTACTCGACCAGCAGCTCGCCGACTCTAGCTAAGGCTTACATGCTATACAGAAAATATGGGAGTTGTATCCACATAAAGATATTTGTTAGTATACTTCGGTAGACTAGTCAGACAGTGACCAATCACACGGTGCGAGTGACATGCTAGCACTGCTCTTGGTTACCATGTAAAATGGCCCGAGGGCTCTGAACGTGTTTTACCCTTGTATCTACAGGATCCTTCTTGATTCATAAACTGATCATTCTATCTACTCCGTTATATATCCTTTCCAACTCCGCACACTTTATCTTGTTTTCTCTATCGGTCTCAGCCACAGACGAAAAGGTCAAGAATGATCCCAGCAACGTAGAGTAACCCGCGTGCCTAAGATTTTTGACATGCAGCTTACCCTACTCACAGTACTATAGCAGGCTCAATTACCCGCCTCGAGCTGCTCCGGTGGTTTCAAGAGGGCAAGAGAATCGGGAGAGATTTCGTTATAGTTGACCTACGTCGCACTGATTTCGAGGTACATGCGGTCTCTCATTTGCTATATGTTTATATATCTCACAATGAATGTGCAGGGAGGCACGATCCGGGGCTCTCTGAACCTCCCAGCACAGAGCTTGCATCCTACTATTCCGACTCTATATTCTATCCTCTCACAAAATAGAATCGATAATGTGGTGTGGTATTGTGGTCAGTGTGACTTAATTTTCTTGTCAATAGTATTCTCGCCTAACATAAGAAGCAGGTTCTTCTCGAGGTCGCGGGGTGCGTGCTGCAAACTGGTTTGCAAAATATCTAGAAGAGCAAAAGGACATGAAAATCAAGAGCCTTGTGCTAGAAGGGGGTATTAAGGGATGGGTGGCGGCTGGGAGGGATTATACTCAGCTTATGGATGAGTATGATGAATCGAAATGGGGGGAATAACTCTATCATAGTAGCTAGCTTCCTTCTAAGTAGTTTGAAATGGAGTGCATCAAAATTATCGAGGTAACTCTGTAGTCGCGGGCTTACCTGTGTTGTTAGTGTTACAAGAATAGTCTACCGCTTATGCGGCCTTCTGATGTCTCTTTGAATATCTTTTTCGATATGTATGTGATGGTGGTAAAAGGCATAACCTGTACAGGTTACCTGTATATATATAATCTTTGATGGGTGATCTAAGATCATATCCTAGCTTCATTCCATCTCAACCAGCCCATATCCACCATCTGCGACTTTAGACAGTCAGATCTAAGTCCAGGCTCATCAAAATTATTCGCACATTTGTCGTTTTTGCCAAGTCGCATTCTAGTTATCGCCGATCATTCATGCACGAGTAGCGATGCCAAGAAACAGTGACATACCACATTCGGCAAGACGAAAGTCGTAGGCATAAATTCGAGGTAGCTTTTACTTAAATAATCCTCACTTCTCTCCGTACATGTATATATGTATATATGTAGGCTATTGAGAGTCGAACGATATTCGACCCCAAGATAAAGTCCACATAGAGACGTTCTTCCCCGCAGTCTCTTCTTTATGCTATACGATGTCGCTCTCTTCCAACACTTCCCCACCCCCAGATGGCGGATATGGCTGGGTATGCGTGGCTGCGTGCTTCTCTATTAATTGCTTTGCTTGGGGTGCGGTCTCTGTGTGTTGCCTCTATATCAGTCATGTCAACGGCAACTCAGCTCATATTCTCTAATAGTCATACGGCGTGTACTTGGCACACTACCTCTCGAGCAACATGTTCCCTGAAGCTACTCCCATGGACTTTGCACTGATTGGAGGTTTTAATTTCTCTATGGCGATGTTGGTGGCCCCTGTTGTTACAATCATCGCTCGCAAGTACGGCACTAAGTTACCCATGTTGCTCGGCCTGGGGCTTTTGGCATCTGGATATATCTCTGCGTCCTTTTCACAAAGAATATGGCAGCTCTATCTGTCACAGGGAGTCTTGATTGGGTTTGGAGTTGGCTTTATCTATATACCAAGTATTCCTGTTCTCTCTCAGTGGTTTGATAAAAAAAGAAGTCTTGCCAACGGGATCAGTGCGGCTGGATCAGGTATTGGTGGCTTGATTTTTTCATTTATGGATGGTTCAATTGTTCAGAAGATATCTCTTGCTTGGGCTTTGCGGTTGACAGCTATTATCAGTTGCTCAATACTGATCATTGCCATTTTACTAATCCGAACTCGCAATGAAGCTATACAGCCATCCCAGCTGGGGTTCGATCTGAAGCTCTTGCGTCGTTTAGATGTGTTTCTATTGCTATCATGGGCTTTTCTTAGTATGCTTGGCTATATTTGTCTGCTGTTTTCACTTCCAGATTATGCACGCTCCATTGGGCTCTCCGAAAACCAAGCTACAATCGTCAACGCAATCTTGAACCTGGGAACTGCTGTTGGTAGGCCACTGATTGGTATTGCCAGCGATCGTTTTGGTAGGATTGAGGTCGCTGGCCTCTTGACTTGCTTTTGTGGCATTACTTGTTTTGTCATTTGGCTTCCTTCAACATCATATGGCGTACTTGTTCTCTTCGCTTTCGTTAGCGGGGCTATTCTCGGGGTCTTTTGGGTCGTGAGTTGATCTAACCTATCCTAATTATACGTGGCCGCTGAACTTCCTGATAGACCGTGGGACCTTTATGTGTTGAAGTTGCTGGGTTGGAGCAGCTCCAATCACTCCTCTCTTTGTCTTGGTTTTTTATTGTGCTCCCTACAACATGTAAGGATTTGTATACAGACCTGAAGACCTTGGGCTAATATCAAATTATAGTCTCCGAAGTTATAGCACTCAAACTACGCTGCCTAGGGTCCTACCAACCATATCGAAATGCCCAATTGTTCTGTGGTATCTCTTATATTTGTGCTAGTGTGGCCTTGCTTTTTCTCTGGTTAGTTAAACGACGGAAAATACAAACAGGCTCTGGGAGTATATAGGCGTACGTGGTCGGAAAGAGCTGGTTTGAGTGGTTACCTACATGTATGTACCAATTAAAAGACTTGAACAGACCATTTCAATGATAGATACCAATAACAAGTATTAAACTCCTTAAATTTTCAAATTCAAAATAAATCCTCAAACCAAACAGCTCGGGCAAGCTCGGAGTCAAGAAAGTCCAAAACTCAAGTCGGGATCCGCGGACCCCGACGATTTCCGCAGAGCTATCAGTCCCTTTTATACATCCAGCGCAGAGCCACAACCATTCCTTCCAGTGATTTTACGCTAAAGATTCAAAACAAAATGACCACATTCAATGGCTTAGAAATAACAACAGTAAGCTCACCCATCTAACTCCTACCCAAAAACCCCCATCTAACCCAACCAGGCCTCAATAATCGCCGCGCTAGCCAGCGAAGGCGCCATCCATCCAATGGACACAGTAATAACACGCATGCAATCCCCAATGTACAGCAGCGTCTACAAGCACGTGAACGGCACATTCAGCCGCACCCTCTTCAGCGGGTTGTACCAAGGATTCGGACCAATCTTCGTCGCAGGAACACTTTCATCAGTGGCTTTCTTCACAGCATACGAAGCCTCAAAGACGGCATTCGATAATGCACAGTCTGCTGGATATATTCTCGGCGTCCCGCGACCGCTGATTCACATTACTAGCAGTGCTGTTGCTGAATTACTCGCTTGCGCTATCCAGAACCCGGCTGAGGTATTGAAGCAGAATGTTCAGGTTTACCAAAAGCCACTTAATGCTGAAAGAGGTCCGTCTCCGACGATGGAGATGTTGCGTCAGTTCCGGAAATATCCCTCTGGGTTGTGGGCTGGGTACGGTGCTCTAGTGGCGAGTCAATTACCGAGTATGTGTCTCACGTTTTGTTTGTATGAGACTTTCAAGGAGAATTTGCTTGAGCGATGGAAGACAGAGAAAGATGATATTAGGCAGCAGCTTGAAGCGACTGTTTTGGGTGCTGGTGCTGCGGGAGGTTGTGTATCTTGGTTCTTTGTTCCTATCCATGTGGTCAAGACGAGGATGAGGCTTGCGGTTGGTGAACAGACAGGCAGTACCCAGTCGAGTCTCAAGGGGAAAATCGGGTTACCATCCCGTGTCGGGGCATTTGATATTGCTCGAGATGTGCTCCGGAAAGAGGGGATAGCTGGGTTGTTTCGGGGATCTGCTTTAACCTGCGTGGCAGCAGTTGTGGGAGGTGGAATGTATATTGGGTTTTATGAGGGGGCTAAGTTATACTTGTGCAATTATAACACTTTATAGTTGGCACGGCTGGAGATCATTCCAGGCTAAATGTATTATAAGATATGTATAATATAATAGAATCACTCTCCTCCCATTGTCTTCTCACAGAATACCCAAACAAAAAATACCCTAGATTTATTTACTAAAGGTATAAAATGTAAAGATGCTACGAAGCACTCTTCCACCGGTATATTATAAGACGCTCATTCATCATAAAAGGTGCGTGCACTGCAGACAGAGCAGACAGGGTATAGGAGGCTAAGAGCCAACTTCAGACTAATTAGCTCTCAAAAGGGCTACACCAGATATCATTTGTAGATGTTATGCTTATCAGTCTCTCCGAATCCCGGACCTATTCCGCGTGCTACTCCCATCCATGCACATACCTATATGTACATAAAGTACATAGTAGTTAGGGAAATCGTGCGTTCATTATAGTGCCACGATACATCCATATGCCCAAGGCTCCATGGCAAGGGCATGTTGGTCTACATTTACCAGCAACTCTACTGATCGTGTCTACAAAAGAAAACCGAAGACTGAAAATGAACAAAGCCACGCTCTATTCTTGATTGAACCTCGCATAGGACGAATGGCGCAATAAGCACGTACATGGAACAGACAGAACTCCCTTCGCCTGGAAAAAAAGAAAACGAAAAGCAACCTCGTCACGGGCAAAAATCAGATACCCTTCACCACCTGTTCCGCCCGAACACCAATCCCCGATCCTAAGCGTCGTGAAGCCGTCTCAGATGAGGTTAGAGATTAGGTGAAATGAAACCGAGATAAATCAGGAAACTTAAACGGAAGAAGACACAGGAGATGTAGAGAGTGAGGTTGAGGACAAAGAGGAGTGGTCGGAGGGAAGAGAGCATGCAAGGGAGTAAATGGGAGACTGCCACGCCGTTTCACTACATCCAACGGACACGAGGCAAGACCATCCATCGTTCGAGGAACAAATACTCCGCTAGCAAATCAAGAGGATACAGAGGATGATAAGCGAGAGGAAACGGAAGAAGGACGTTCATAAGCAGGAGAGAAAACACAAGAAAGAAGAAAAGGAATACGTAAAGAAACACCATAAGACGGCTGGCCAGAAAGCCACCACCCAAAAAGATTCCGAAATAACAAGCACGAAGGAAAGAAACCGGTTGGAAAAACACCCCATCTCCGAAGATTTCAAATGCTCCATGTCATCAGTGCCGTTGTGGCCCAAAGTCTGCCTCTACCACCTTGCCTTTCTTGCCCTTTACCGTAAACTCCGCAAGCAATGCGACGTGATCACTGGGGAAGTGGAAATTCGGGAACCCAGGCACGCGGCGTAGATATTCCTTGTCCACTTCGCCGAGCAACGCCGACACGTGAAGAGTGTTGGAAGAGTACCAGACGTAGTCGAGAATGGCAGTGAAGTCGGAAGTGTAGTTGGTGAAGCTCAACTCTCCCATGGAGGAGTAGGCTGACTTCAACTTGAAGGGATGTGTCATACCAACCCGGCTGAGGTTTCCGTAAAGTCGCTTCTCCAGATCGGGATGAGCTTCGGGAAGTCGTCCAGTGGAGATCAGGTTGTAAGCCGCAGACCCTGGTGAGGAGTTGAAATCACCGCACATGAGAACAGGGATCTGATCACCACTGGTGTACTCCATCGAAGGGGCCGGCTCCACGACGGGCGCGGTCTCTGAGCCACTTTCGGCCTCTGAGAAGCGGAATGCGGTCTTGTCCGTACAGGCAGGCCATTTGGCGTAGTTATCTGAGAGTTTGGTAATCTCCTCCATCAGAATCGCAGTCTGAATGAGCTTAACGTCCTTAAAGGCCGGGTCCCAATACAGATGAGCGTTCACACTGATGAAGCGAGCACCAGTTTGTCGGTTTTCCAAGAAGATCACAACGGCGATATGGTCCTTCTGCCACAGTCTGTTGTAGATATCATCTTGGCCCTTGGCGTCGGGTCGACGGACGGCTGTCTGACCAAAGTTGATCAATTGCTTGTCCAACAGGATGTACTTGCTTCCCTTGAAGAATGTAGCACATCCATCGACCATCCGAGCGTCTTCCTCTTGCATTCCCATTGCACGACCACGCGGCCAGTAAACACCTTTGTAGTCATTGTAGGCAAGCTGCTCTCGGAAGAAATTGTTGTAACTTCCTTGATCAACCTCTTGAAGGCAGACAATATCTGAGTTATGGGATCGTAATTCATTGAGAATAAGCTCGCGGCGGTATTCCCAGGACAGGACACGTGATGGCACATAGCCGTAATGCGATTGGGTGGCAGAAGAGTCACACAGGGTGTTGTATGACAGTACGGTGATCTTTTCCGTATTACTGTTGGACGAGGTTGAAGTATCATCAAGGATCACCCAGTCACGGTCAGGAGGAGGTAGGTGGACTATAATGATGAAGTTAGCGAAAAAATCTCGCGCAAATATGCTGAAAGCAGAACGAGCAGTTGAAACACACCTGGCATCTCTTCTCTCAGGTACTTGATGAGAGCCTTGGTTCCATCCTTCATTATCTGAGATTTGAGGACATCGTTCAGGGGATTGCCCTCAATGCCCAACGTTTCCAACCGGTAAAGATACCCCATTTCGTAAGGGAGGGTGCGAATGTTGTTATCGAAGAGAAGGAGTTTCTTCAGGTTTGAAAGCATGCCAAGTTCTTCTGGCAGCTCCGTTAATTCATTCCCTGACAGATCCAGATGATTCAACTTCCGCAGTTGTCCAATAGCCGGGGGCAGCACCTTCAACTTGTTAGAGTTGAGGTACAGCTTCTCAATGAAGCCATAGTTGAACAACGAGGTAGTCAAAGCGCGCAATCCTTGGCCACCGAAATCAAGCGCATTCCAACCCTGTCGGCTAGCTGGCTTCCCTGCAGATGCACCATTGCGCCCATCCGTCCCATTCTCTGTATCAGTGTTGCTGGAAATGAGCTGGATTCCTTTCGTTTGTTGAGCAATGACGCGGGCATGGTAGTGGGGAGAAGTGGCTTGTCTCGATTCCGCCGCAAGCTGGAGCTGCTGCTGCCAATGCTCGTTCATTGATTCATCAAGATCGTCGTCTGCGGTCGGTCCTCCGTTCTGCAAATGCGTCGAGGTGAAATGAGAAGTTGTCGTGGCGGCCAGTGCGCCGCCGGGGAAATTGTGTTGATGAGTGAGGTTGTGGGTCGCTTGTGTGTGATGGGCATGATGGTGCGGTTGCTGTGTGTGATGAGAGTGGTGGGTTTGCGATTGGAACTTCGGGATCGGCATGCCAAACCGCTGGTGGGCTTGACCGCCATTCATCATGACATGCTGACCTTGGTGGGTTTGGCCGTACATGGTGTTAAAAGGGCTGAGAGCAGCAGCCTGGTTTAGGGCAGGGGAGCGAGAGGGGGAGGGGGTGTCGGTGTTGAATTTCAGTCGACCCGTCGGGGAATTGGTCCCGTTTCGAACGATGTGTCGCTGGTGAGGGTTCTGCTGTGCTTGAGCTTGGAAGTAGAACTGCCCGGCCCCAGGCTGCTGGAACCTGTAGGTACCATCTGCCATTTAACGTGGCAGACGAGACCGTGTTTTGTTTCCCTGGTGGAAAACCTGTTGGTTGGTGGGCGGCGCTAAGTTGAGTTCGGTCGAGGAGAGGAGAGGAGAGGATCGGAGACGGTCTCTTCTCTTCTTCCACATAGAGGCCTAAGGCAAAACCACCTGTATCAAACCACGATTGAAGGTCGCCGGTGACTTTGGCACTGGGAGTATCTTTAGGTGTGCAATGGGGCGGTACCTAAGGGCGGAGATTGGGCGGAAGGGTCAAAAAGAAGGCGTGATCGGAAAAGCAAAAAGAGATCGAGTGACGGGAAGTCGAAGAAAAACCAGTGGGGCAAGATTGACGTAGCAAAGATGAGCAAACCAGACGATTGTCTCCAGGTCGATGAGGACGTCTTGAGATGACACTGGTGGTTTGCAGCGAGGCGGGAGTCACGGGATCACGTGAATCGCCGCAAGGGCCAAAGCCTTTCCCAGATTTGATGAGCTTGGCTTGCCAAGACACAGTCGATGTTTCTCAAATGTTTGATGTTTGATATCTTTATTGTTGGGGGAAAGGTTTGGTATCGATCATATATTCTTCATCTATCTTGCACTTTCACTTTCACGTTACTTTTGCGACCGATGGGACTGTTTATATGAGAACCAGCCACGTGGTTGACTTTGCCTGTCAAAAACTATGGGCGTACGCAACTGTCTTTGGCAAGTCGAACCTGCATTGGATTTTGATTCTGGCTAAACATCTTGTTTGAAGCTAACCAACACTACGGGGGTACATCTGAAAGAAATTAGGGCTTAGAAGGGATATATAGCCTAGGGGTGCGGCAAAGACAGAAACAGACCTGGATCAGAAGATCGAAAGAATGAACAATGGCCTGACCTATTCTAAACCCTCGCTAATAATATCTAATACTTTTAAAATTGAGTCTGATCGTTTGATTTTCTCCTAAGTGTCAGAGAATCATAGAACCATTGTGGCAAAGTAGTTCAGGTCAGCTTGAAGCTCCCCTTGGCATGAACTACTTGGGCGAGACAGAAAAGCCACCAATGGAGTAATTTTTGATCAATTCCACAAACTCCATATCGTATGATTAAAGACAGAGTGCAACCTTAGAACGCCGATAAATTATATCACTATGGTGATCACTAGTGAATGCCTTAAAACATCATCCTCACATGGATCTATACGGAGCAGAAAGAATCACTAATAAATGATGTTAAATGATGTCTAGATAGAGATTTTTTTAGAGATAATTTCAGTCATCAAATGGCGTCTAGGCAGACTGTTTTTGAGCCCTAATGAATATAGAGATCCCGTTCATGATACCTAGATGTATGTATATTGTATAGCTTCTGCGAGGTAGCACAGACCTAGCATACTCGCATATTCACAAATAAAAGGTGATAACTCCAACGGCTTAATGTGACCACAATTCTTCTATACAACATACGGAGTATAGAGTACACAGTTACCTTCATCTTCTTACTGATCATATTTGCCTCTCCAACGCCGCGTATTCCCGTGTGAAAAGTCAAACTAGTCCTAATCAAAAGTACGTGGCAGACGCTATTGTGTCGATCGAATTCTCGTATCATTCTGCAGGTACGTTTAATTTAATACCGAGCGGAAAGGGCACGGATCACAGTGCAGACCAAGACGATCGCGTGGAATAGCCGATAGCATAAGTGCCTACCTAGGTAGACTTAGCGTTGGGGCACGGGGTAAGCCGGTACATTCCCAAAGGTATCAGATAGAGAGACAATGGCGAGCTAAGTCTCAGACAGTTGGGGGCCCAGACTGCGGATCCAATTAATAAATCACACCCTATGGATATGACGGGTAGGGATCTCCGACAGTTGTGTATCCAGTTTTACCGTTTGGATAATATAAAATACGCATTAATGCATATCTACTACTAGTTCTCTGTCCAATTTTTGCTACAAAGTATATACTTTGGATTTATGCATCTTATCAATCAGAAGAAAGGGAGCATTTTCCTAAATCAGGTATTCCTTTTGACATTTATACTCTATACAGAGTACGGAGTACTCCGTCTATGTTATATATATGATTCTAGACTAGGCTGAAAATTGTGTATCAATATTCCCCATAAAATAACAAAAAAGCAACGATGAACTATGCGATATAATACATAACTTCTATACGAAGTAGTTCCTACCGCATTTAGCCAGTATTTCCCTTCCGGCGATCGAGCCATGGGCCTTAAATGGGAGTCATGATGTCAATGCCTATATATAAAAATATAGGGAAGACTCCAAATCTTCAGGGTAAAACGAATGTACATACTCCGTACTATTGACCCCAATACTGATATTTCACGGAGTAAAGTACTGTTACTGTTACCGTGAAGGGACTAAACTAGACTCGAGTGGATATTCAACTTCCAGGGGTTAGACCAGCTTTTCTCTTCTCTTCTTCTCCCCCATTTCTTCTCGAACTTCTCGAAGAATTTACTCCTTAGAGTTTCTATCTACGCAAAGACTAAAGGGCTATCTTCAATTTCAGTACTTTTTATCTTGACGTTGAACAAGAAATTTCTTCAGCTCTGCGCCCGGCTGCACTAGGGATAATTTCCGAACCCGCTTTGATCCCCGTCGCCTTCCTGTTCGACTCTTAATTTTTTTCTTCTATTTTTCCATTTTAATTCTTATTTCCCTCGGAATTATCTTCCACTCGAAAAAAAAGCCTTCAAAAAAAAGCATGCCTCGTTCATGAAAACTTCAATCTTGCGCCGAGAATGCGACCGGACCCACAACCTTCAGAGTCATAGGGGACACCAATCGATATACTTGAGGAAAGCGATATGGACATGATGGCACTGGGGTTCTCAGGCGCAGTTGCCTCCGGCTCCGACCTACACTCCAACCTGAGCTCGACACTGGCCGCAACCTCCTCCTCGTCATTGAATTCACTCACGGATTATTCAACATACCCTCTGATGCGCCTTGGTGACCGCACCTACTTTCGTGACCCGGAGAATGTCTACCCTTTGCCTTGCGACATGCCTGAGATCCATCGCCAAAGCCTGCGCACGTTGATGCTGCTGCGCGTCCTCGGCGGCCCATTTTGCAACCCCCACTTAGCCAATCGGCCGCCCAAACGCATCCTGGAGATCGCATGCGGGTCCGGGCTGTGGTCTGGTCTGTGCCACGAATACTTCGCCCGCAGGGGCCACCCCGATGTGGCTTTTGCCGGGATAGATGTGATCTCCATTGCACCGGATATGCGCAAGCAGGGAATGAACTGGCAATTCAAACGTCATGACCTACGCCGACCCCGCTTGCCCTTCCCGGACGACTATTTCGATTTCGTGTTCATCAAAGATGCTGGCATGTGTCCTTCCAGTCCCGCGCAATCCGCATCGGGCCTGAGCGAGCCCCTGCGTGTGTTGAAGTCCGGGGGAATCTTAGAGGTGTGGGATTCGGACTGGAGCTTCCGCTCGCTCCTGCCAAATCCGGCTCCGGCACGCAAAACAAATCCGAAAGAACAGGAGATCGCCGATGCAACGGCTACTTATACATTCTCCTCTGCCACGCCATTCACACGAGCGCAGAACAAGTTCGTGATTGATTATAATTCCTGGGTGGAGAAGTCGTTCGACCGTCTCAAATTGACATCGCTCCCGTGTGCGACCATCGGTCTATCCTTCAACTCCGAAGTGGACTTGTTAGAAAATGTCGACAGTCGCCGCGTCGCAATCCCCCTAGGTGACTTGCGCTGGGAGCGAGACGGCCAAGGCAAGGATTCCAAGAATCGACCACGAAAGGCCCTGACTCCAGAGCAAATCTCCATCCGGCGGACAGCTCTACTCACCACAATCCAGATGATTGAAGGGCTGGAGCCGATATTGATGGAGTCTAGCGGAAAGGGCCGTGACGAATGGGACCGATGGTGGGCTGCAATGACAGCCGACCTCTTGCAGAAAGGCGGACTCACCAGCGGTGAGTGCCTTGAAGTGAGCGCCTGGTGGGGTCAAAAAAAATGAACCCCTTGAGTCAATTTGGAGTTCCGGTGGGCAAAAGTCAAGTAGCGACCATTCTGCACTTTGTATTGGTGATACCCCCAATTTTATTTCTGTCTTTCTGGGTTTCTAACATGCATATGATCTGAACATTTCTGAAGAAGAGGTGAGAGCCCTTGAGATATTAGGCCTCACTTCCATATCGTTTTTTCAGCGTTCGGTATCGCTTCAAATAGTACCTGGGTTATTTTATCTTGTCAGTTGCCATCAACGCAAAGTCTTGTGGTGGGGATCAAAATAGTTCTTGCATGATGCCATGATAATGAGGAGTGAATCTATGCACAGTGTATCTAGCCCGACACTACCCCATTATGGGAGCAATGTATAGAAGAATGACATGTACTAATGATTCCACTGTGCTTCCGAATGATTGTAATCCCGAAATATAGGCAGTAAAATGAGGAAGGTGGTCGGATGGAACACTGCGATATAGAAGGTAGGGAGGAAATGGAGGGATGGAGGGACCAGTCTTACAGTGCTTCCACTTCTGCATTAAATGATTAGCAATAAATTCTCAACTGTGACCAAGTATAGGGATATGTATCCCAGCGAAAAAAGACACCACCCACCTTTCTTCACAAACTCAGCCCTCGCTATCCCCTTGCGAATCTGCTCCTCGTCGGTAATCTGAGTCTGACTTGCAAACGCACGGTGTAACCGATCTCGGAAATACTGATAGCCCAGAGGATATTCCCTTCCTAAGAACAGAAGCTCTACATCTCGGGTTATTAGCATGTAACAGATGAGTTGAGAGTTCAAGTCGATGCATGACGCGGACGGCTTCATACCTTTATAGACGTTAATGACCTGTCGGCGCAGCTCGGGATTTACCATTGTCGCTCCATCCAAGAACAAGGACTGTTCTGATGAAAAGTTGGGTGATGGGGATGCGGTGCAACGAAGGTACGCGGCTGAGAAGCTTCCAGGCTTCGGGTGTTATCGGTGACGTGCGTAGCGGAGTTCCAGGGTTACTCCATGTCCATGTCATGTGGGTGTTTATATACGCTAGGTGTATATACTACCTACGTACCTATTTTGGTGGTAATTTAGATATTCTTCTCCTCTTCTTACATTCACTTGAGATTTTAGAACCAAAAATACATAAAATAATATCATTACAGCGTCAACTTCAAACCCCCTATAGTCACGCGGGGTTCTAGCCGACCTGACCTCGGGATACTGGCCCAAGCTTCTGGTTATCGGTTATCGGAGAGCTGTCCAACGAAGAACTGTCTCTCCGCAACTACGCGACATGCTTCCTCAATCGGCTTTTCGAGCGCAGCTATCTGCCTCAGTCTCTCTGTGCTCAAATAGCACACGTCGTCTCTTCTCTGTAACTTCCGCGGCCTTCAACGTCCAGAAACTCTCCGATTCGGTCTCAACCCCGATCAATCCACGATGGCTCACAATGACCAAGCGAAGGGTCGGGAAGTGCATGATGTTTGGGATGAAGCCAGCTCAGATTGACGAGGGGGGCAAGATTCTACAGCAATTGGCCAAAGAATGGCGGGAACTTATTGCTGGAAGTGAGGGATTCCTCACGGATAGGAAACGGCGCAGTCTATATCGCCATAATGTGGTCTGGGGAGAACAGGTATGAGCTTGGGTTATATTGCTTGGTCCGTATTTTGCATGAGGGTTATTAATGATAAGTCTACTTTTGGTGGATTAGGATATTATGGTGAGAACATTCGTGCCCCCTACCTGCTACGCTTACTGCATGGGCTATATTGGATTTCTAAGCCAAAGCTAATATGGATAATAGGGTATGCTCCGTCCCTTTTTTTTATATTTCTCCTCGCCAATCCATAGATCATACCGTACTAACTGGTCCGCTAAGGTCACGTCAACAACGTTACTTATGTTCGATACGCCGAAACAGCTCGAGTTAACTGGACACGCAATATCGGCAATCATATCGATACCGCAAATAAAAAAGAATGGATAAACTTGCTTGGTAATACGGGAATCGGGCTCATCCTGAAGAGTATCAAGGTCGACTACAAATTTGTACTGTATCCCCGAGACCCAAAACCCGCACCGCTGGGGCAGCACCAGAGTGGACCTATTTGCTCACTATCACACAGCCCATGGAATCTCCGGACAAAATTACTGTCTACCAAAAGTTGATCCCAGACCCGTCTAGGCATCTTTCAGCGCAATCGGCATTCCGACTCGAAGTCATGATCTTGTCTGAAGCTCACCAACGCCCTGCTGCTCGTTGCTTCGAGGATATCGTGATCTATGATTACAAGCAGAATCGCAAGACTGTCACTATCCCGCCATTTATCATGGAGCAGTTTGAGTCCATGTGGAAGCAGCAGGAGCAGGAGAAAGAGAACTGGAAGCAGCATATTGCTGATATCGAAAATCGGGTCCGGAATCTTGAGCTTGAAAGCTGGGATCGGGCCGATGCTGTGGAGGACAACGGGTCTGCGTGAGAGTGATTGCAATGGGTAGAGACATTGAAGAACGGATCATATGGGGCTGCGGACGACTATGTTTCCTTGTCATTTTGTTAGGCACTTGATTGACAGCTGCAGTTCTCTGCGCTTTGTACATACGCATTCCAAGTCTCAAGTACGCCTAACTGATGGAATCTTAGAGGAAGGGAATATGGTCATATTAAAATAGTATCTGCGGCAATGACCGACTTCTCATTTCAAAGGTGACTTGGGACTTATCCAGGTGTGAGTAGTACAAGATAGCACCCGTAGGCTTGAAGGTGTCACATTATGTATGTAGTCCGCTGGGTCTGAGCCGTGATCAACAGCAGCCCTAATTCATACATAGTTCAACTGCTCTCTTGGTTGTTCTCCAGGTCCTAGCACTGGATTCACCCGTTGTTTTAGGGGCCTACAGAGATCACTGTGTGAATGTATCATTAATTTTATTCGTATTGCCAAGGAACCATTGACCTAAGCACAGTCTACAAGATTTACAACATGAGGGTCGCATCCTTGCAAATCAAAGACAGTAAACCACCATCTAAATCTATTGTTCAAACAACTCAAAGCTTAAACCTCTTTGCAATCTCAATCCCCTCCGCAATAGATCCCACCCGGGCGTCAATCGCATACCCTTCACTCTCCAACTTTTGCAACTCAGCCGAAAGCTCCGATACCGGAAGTGTGAAACACTCGATAAACTCATTATCCTCGAGATCAGGCTTTGGATTCTGGTTTTCTGGAAGAGACATGTCAACCTGAACGTAAACCATGTGGAAATTGGCATTGCAGAAGCCAGGATCTAGGTAAGTATCTCAAGTCAGCTAATATTCAACAGTAAGACGAACAATGGGCTCACGAACCATTGTACATAATCCCAGTAGTTTTATCAGCAACGCCAATGTACCCAGTCTCTTCTTTCAGCTCTCGGACTGCAGTTTGTTCAATTGTCTCCCCTGCGTCGATCAACCCTGCGGGGAGTTCTATGACAACTTGGTCAATTGGAGGCCGGTATTGCTTCTCCAAAAGGATCTCAGAGCCATTCTTCTTATTCAGAAACGCGACGATGTTGACTCCGTCGACAGATGAGTCTGTCGGCCTTGTCTACGAGTTGATTAGGTCGTTACAGTTGGATTTATATAGAATCTCAAAATTCGTACCTGGCGCTCAGCGGACTCCCAGTCTCTTTTGACTCCGTTGGGATCAATGTAGTTTGTTTTGACTAGTCTTTTCCATTTGGCTTCTTGGGAAGCCTTGAGGTCATAAGTAGCTGGGGGTATAGTTAGGCTAGGAACACATACCAAGGGTTCTCGTGAGAGAAATGTGGACTTGAGGTGCGTCATTTTATGAATTGATCCCTCGACGCTTCAGAATAGGAATTGAGCTACGAGAAAATGTGACCTAGGTACTAGGTTCCAAGATTTCTCTCGATTGATTGCAACCTTTTGAGGTGGGCAGCCCTGGAGGTGCCTGCGGACGGGTGGGACATAAGATGACTAATGTGGTGCTGGCCATCTGGGCACCTGGGTGCTCAGATTGACAGCCTCGGGGGTGCTGGTTATATTGTACTGGTCATTTCTTTTCAAACCTACCTATATATACAACATAATACTGACTATAATCTAGGATGGTCCCTACAAGGAACTTTTCTGATATAAATCGAATGAATTTTGGATTATTCTAGATATACAGCTGGGCTACCCCGGAGCTTAGGTACTTAGGAGCTCCGCCTAGGCAGGTCCCGGACACCTGGAGTGAACCTGGCATTCTACGCTTTGAACACCCCTTTAGATATATATCGACAAGCGTAACTTCTTCAGCATTAGTAAATAAGAGGTAGCTACTCAGAAAGCTGCGTGTATTCTACTCCCCAAACTTAGAGGGATTTACTTCAACTTCTTAGCTGAAAGGAACCGAACGCTCCTGGGGCTTCATTTTACAAGGTTTCAACAACTGATAAATATGCGTCCCAAGTCAATCACAACAGTCTATAAAAACAACACTAAGAAGGTTCAAAATAGAAAGAATACGGACAAACTATTATCCTGTATGGAGTATGGTTGGTAACTGTCTATAAATTTCTAGCATCACTCACCAATATTTTCCCCGCATCGCTCAATCACCACATTCTAGCAGGCATTGTTTACTGCCTACTGATATCTGGGAAACCGCGTTTTCTACTTATGCCATTTATTCTGCGTTCTATTCTTGGCTTGGACAGAAGCTCCCATCTTCGCGCTTTTCCGCCTGCTTGAACGCCAGCATTATTTAATATGAGATCTGAGAACCAGGAATATTCAGTCGATCAGGAAATTGCCAACTTCTTCCAAAAGGCATCTGTAGACCGCTCATCCTGTGATGATCGAGCACAGAAACTCGTGGGAGGCACTGTGACCCCCATTGCAGTGCAAGGCGCTTCCAGTTATTCTGTATACGCCGGTCCAAATCACGAATATGTGGTGCAGTTCCGACTAAGGTCTCTTTGGCTGAAGACAGAAATTGCAAATATTGCCAGCAAGATATATGGATCCTTGGTGCCCTCCGTCTCTTGTTACGGTCAAATTGGAAGAGATGTTAGTGGGAAGGAACGTCTCTCTCTCTATGTGATGAGTCGGGTGAAAGGCATTCGCCATCTCGATTTTGTCAATGCGCATAATCTCCCAGAGAACTCGCCCGAGTACTTTACTTGGAGAGAGAATCTGATCTCCGACGTTGCTAGGTATGTTTAGAGTTGGCTATATTATAATAATGATCTGACCCGAACATCCATAAATAAAGAGTCTTTAGTCTCACATGGAAAACCTCGCTGAATGTCGACGCATCGTTTCGTGAAAATCTCTATCAAAGATATGACGAAGACCTGCGGCTGCTCTTAGCTGCTCTCCCTAATCGCTTCCACGCAATCATTCAACAATCGATTGACGCTCTACCTGCTATTTTTTCGCTGCCTATGGTCCTTCTTCACAAGGATTTTGGTATGCGCAATGTCATGGTTGATGCCGACAATAACCATCTAATCGGAATCATTGACTGGGCCGAAGCAGAAATTGGTCCCTTCGGAACAAACCTACATTGTCTCCAGCAGTTTATGAGCAAATATCGCCTTGGTGTTGGCTGGATTCGATATCGTAATTATGACACTTTAAACAACAACTTTTGGAAGATCCTTTCCGTAGGCGCTGGGCTCGAGGAGGAGACGATCCGAACTATAAAATCCGCAATGATTGTCGGCCTTTTACTTTCCCATGGATTTACGAGCCGCCTTGCCAATATGCCGAAGCCTGAGCCCATCCGCGACGATGAAAGCGGAGCTTTCGAGATGCTTGGGTTGGATAGCTTACTTATCGTTCCTGCTACGAAGCTTGTGGATTAGCTATGAGTACTACAGACAGTGATGCAAGACTTGACTCCATTGTTGTCTACAAGTGAATAAATATGCGAACGGAGAGCAGATGTGCGGCTATATCACTGTCATACGTATAGAATAGTGGTGTCGTCTCAGAGAAAGTCTCTCCCAAGAACACAATGCTGCTAGGGGAATGTCCGGGGGCGAAGATGATTTGAAGTCTCAAATCAAAATGGGTATAAGTGATACCATACGGTAGTATGGTCGAAAAAGGAATACTTAGTGCAAGATAGCACTACAAGGCTCCTTCTGCGCCACAATAGTCACCTTGTATCCCGGCTAGGTGCCCGCCCATCTTGGAAGGTTGAAATCAATTGGGACAATTCTTACAATCTACATACACTTGTAGGTAGGGTCAGCCTTTCTGCCGAGGGCAGATAGGATCTTTCAAGGTTTATTCCTCGCCTAGATTGATCTTCCTTCCTCTCTTTCTTCCTCGCGATAAACAGTTCAATCTAATCATGTTCTCTTTTCCATCTTGTCTTCTCTATATCATCACCATAAGTAGTTCGGTCAAAATCGGCAAAAGAAGTATGCAAAGGTCACTGTGGGAAATCAAACCCAGTATGAAGTGCAGTAATGACAATCGGAATTAAGATGATTGTAAAAAGGGGTCAACATGGTTCTAAGGCTTCAGGTGTAGTAATTTGACAATCGTACTAGTCAAGATCAGCCAAAGATCTTGGTTCAATATAAAGTTAACTTTGTGTGGGGGATGGAATGTGAGTCTCGGGTCACTTTTCCCATCGAAGCATAGGTAGCATTTTTATGTATTGTGAAGAATCTTATCTATCCCTTGTTCATTTCTTGAGGGTTTTATGTATGGCTTTCTTTTCCTAATATTTCCAAAGTCATTACTGGATGGGCAAGAGGTCCAGTTTCAGACACATCAAGCGGAATTTGAGTATATGGGCCATGTCCTTCTGATACATGTGTGCTTCGTAATACACTACACATGTAAAAACAGTATTCATGCGCGCACCTATAGAGTATGCATTTGCTCCTAACTACATATATTGTAGGTTCCTGATGGCGGCATTCAATTAGTACACACTAACTACATGCGGCGAAAAGTAAACTCTAAAAAGATTCCAAGGGTGGCCTCGATGAACAATGATTGACTGATCTATGGAAGGCCTGAAGCTAATATTTGTATAAGTGAATGCATAATTCTCTTTAAAGAGACCGAGAAACGTTCACAAGTTTAGCCAAATTTTCATATTACATCCGAGACCCTGCCGCGCTAGGAGGTGAGAGCCGGAGCCAGTAGGAAAAGCAAAAGGATCGACCTTAAAAATTCGAAGTTTATCGGACCCAAGCAGAAGCCGGTTCTAAAAGAGACTAAGTGGACACGCTAGTGGAAGTGGTTGCCATTTTCCAAAATTTTGTGACCTATTTTTGTGAACTTTGGACTGGAAACCTAGAAATCTAGAAACGTAGAAGTGTACAGTGTCCAAGTGATCGTGGTTGTACAATATAACCAGAATGGTAGGGCTCACCGCATGCATAAAAACAACCTAAGCCATCCCCAAGCCCGGCCGTCGGGCCGATCTTTACTAAGTTTGTGGCTGATCTACAAAACCCTCCAGGGCTGCCAAGCCCCGGGTATCGTATTGGAGGGGGGAGGATCGGAATTGGCAAAGCCTGTACCGGCGTAATTGCATATATTTTTTACGTACGGAGTAAGGACTTCTTTATATTTGCAAGCTCAATCTCGATATATCCTCAAAGACCACTTTTTTTTTTAGAAAAAAGATCTAGACCTATACTCGTACTCGTACAGTAATACCTGTGCGAAGGCCCTTCAGGAAGATGCACGAGATAGCCGAGCATGTGATGATCCTAGCAAGAATGTGGGCAACCTTGTTGATACACACGTTTTGAGACATACAAGCTTCAGTTCCCCATACTTCCTTCTCATTATGCTCTCCATGCTCGGGATTGCGTGTTTTCATGCCTGCAGGCGCATTTATCTGCAAGCTAGTCTCCCAACGAGTAATAATCATACCATGATTCAAGGATTCGTAACAGACATCAAAAGTCCGATGCAAGAATGACCCCGCAGCAGACGGGTCAAGAAACGGTCGATCGTCAATCCAGTCAGTTAGTTTGACAGCAAATACGGACCGGTGATGTGAACATCGTAGGTTGTACGGAGTACTCCATGGTTGTTAGCTTATCAGCACTAGTCAAGCCCGTTTTGAAGAAAGTCCGTATGGCGCCGAGGCAACGAAAACCACTTGTCATAAAAGTGTCTGGCTTAGGATTGGCCAATGTGTAGGTATCCGCGTTGCATAACTTGGCAACTGCAGCCGTTGTAGCTCCTAGGGGGCGTGACCTGTCAATAAGCCCTATTGTATCGTCAGATACGGAGGTTCAGAGCAGAGTAAGAAAGCTTGGCAGTACATTGACGGTGTTGGATAGGATTTTCCATGCAGAAACTCCAGATCGACAAAGAAGCCACGGCAATTTATTACCAGGAGCTCTTTACGGAGTAACTGAATTTGCAATCTGCAGCCGTCCAAGTACACAGTACCGAAATCAAATAGTGGCGGATGGTATTGAAGCCAGGTACCGCCTACCCAAATGGCACCAGTGATCGACATCAAATGACAATACCAATACCAATTTCTGTTTCTTTCGACTTCATACAATTCCACCTGGGCACTTTTTCCCCTTCACGCTTCCACGTAGAGCGTCGTCTCTTGTCTTTCTCTCTTTTTTTTCCCTCATTTTCCTTTTACATTTACTTACTTTTTCTTTCCCATCTTCATTACCATACGAATCACTCTACACCATTTCCTTCCACCACATTCAATTTTAGTCCGTTTTCGCCTTTTTCCTGGTCCCAGTCCTTGGCTTCATCCCGCCAAGCTGACTCGGACCTGGGTTTCGGGCTCCCTCGTCCATGACACGCTCCGCTGCATCTAGGAAGAACCAGAGCAATCGGCAGGAGAATGGCCTTGTCGGTCCCGGCAAGAAAGTAACCAAGCAAAAGTCAAGCGGCCATCTCAACGGCAACTCGGGCAACGGCTCTGCTACCGGTCCGGGCGCGTCCGCTCACTTCGATTTATCCTCTGTACGGTCAACTAGCGATACGGCCGTGACATCTCCGACAGTTGCCGGCAAGGGAGGGGATAGCACGAAGGCAGATGGCAATTCGCGAGGGATGTTGAATGGACATAGCAAGGGTGGAGAAATGGCATGTGCGCAGGAAAACGGCGATGTCGCCCAGAATGGTGGCATAGCAGGCCATGCCTCTCGCAATGGAAACTCGAAACGATCCGGATCCAATGCCTCGATTAATCCGCTCCAGCTCGCATCCACCATCCTCAAATCGTGCCCCATGTACGACACCATCGCCATCTTGATTTTTTTGCTACAGCTTCCACCAATGGTCTTGACTCTCGTTCAGTTCTTGTTCGCCTCTTTGACTTTCATGCCTCCGAGTGGTGCCGCAGCCGGTTCTTTGTCGTCGAACTTCGATATTTTTCAAGGTCCGGCTGGGACGCCTTCTCTGGGGACGATGATTGCGATGGATGGGTTTTGCATACTTCTCTGGGGCCTCTTCATGTGGACTTGGGCGCAAAACTTTGCCATCGATCTCGCTCATGTCCAGGTTGCTATTACCTTGGGTGGCGGGGGTTCCGGGAAGAACGGCGGGGTCAATGCTCTCTGTGTCGGAATTGTTCTGCTTCTTCATCTTGTTCGCAGTAAAGGCATCCAGGACTTCGTCTTGGGTCATCTTGTCTCGGCTAAACTGCTCAGTCCCGATCTCCTCTCTCAATATTCGCATCTGCTCCCCGCCGAGTTCCGACGCTCCGAAGCACAAACGTCTCCGAGCTGGCTCCGCAGCCTTCTAGCAGTGCATATCCTCGCACAAGCTGGCACCGCCATGGCACGACGCTCGATGGCCAAGAATCGGTCGCCGACACCGTTACGGACCGGCAAGCGGGGAGATACGGAGGCTTCTGCGGGGTCACAAGGACAAGCCGATTCGGCTCTGGAATCAGCTGCCAGTGTTTCGTCTTCTTTCGTGGGACCTGATGGTCAGTTGAAAGATGGAAAGGATCGCTTCACATCAGCCAAGAAACGCAGACGGCAGGCCAATCAAGTTCGGAGCCGACAGCCGTTCTGGGCTGCGCTTGCCAGTACAAAGGTTACGGTGATGAGGGAATATGAACATTCGCGGGCTGCCTCGAAAACAGCCCGCAATCTCACAATGACGGAGGAGGATCTCCAGGGTGTTTCTCTCGAGGACGGGTTAATATGGATTACGGATATAGATAGCTCTTCGATTAAATTCGCCGCGGGCGAATTTACCGATGACCCCACTGTGTCGGGTTCCTTTGAAGCCGGCCGTTTGGGAGGAGACATGGAACCGTTCTACGTCTGCGTCAATGGTGCGCTCTGGGCTACCGCTTCGATATGCAGGGTTTCAGATGCCAAGGGACCGAGCGTCGTCCAATGGCGGGGCGAGATCGCTGGACTCGCTCCCAATTGCGCCTACACATGTGCATTTGTTCGAAGCGATACCGACGAGGAAATCTGTGTCATGAGTGTCAAGACACCTGCGACGACTGACACAGAGCAAGGTAAGTTCATGCCAAATAGAAACATTTTCTTTTTCAATAAGCTCATTGCTTGAACAGTCATTTCCGCGGTATCGACACCCCCGCAGCCGACCTACCGTCCATCATCCCCCACAACGACGCTCAAGAACTCTATCAGCAATGCGGAATCCAAGTTGAATGAAAAGCGCAATCGTCTGAAAAAGACGAAGAACGACCACAAAGCTGTTATCTCGAAAATCCGGAAAGAACTCGAGAACTTCAATACTCGCCTCCATAGCGGAAGTGACGAGAATCGCCAAAAGCAGCGTTCGCTTCAACTGGAACGAAACATCCGGCAAACCGAAGAGGCTACTGCAGTGCTAGAGGTACAACTCGACACTATGGAAAGTGTCC